GCAGTAGTGGCAGTAGCTGTAGCAGTCGCAGTAGCAGTAGCCTTAGCCGTAGCAGTAGCAGTAGCAGTAGTAGTAGTAGTAGTAGTAGTAGTAGTAGTAGTAGTAGTAGTAGTAGTAGTAGTAGTATTAGTAGTAGTCGTACTACTAATAATACCAATCATAATCATAGTAATCGTGGTCGTAGTGGTGGTGGTGGTGGTGGTCGGACCAGTTGTAGAAGAAGTCGTAGAAGTAGACGTAGTTGTCGTAGTAGTTGTAAAAGAAGTCGTATACATAGACGCAGTAGAGGCAGTAGGGGCCTCGGGAAGTCCTGGTTTCAGCCGAGGTCACCAGGCTGGGCCCGGAGGTCGTGGCCAGAGGCCGTGAGTCTTTACTTTTGCTTTTCATTTACTTTATCTTTTTCTTTCCCTTTACCTTTTTACCCTTACCTCTTCTTTTCGGCTTACCCTCCCACCTTCACCTTCATCTCACCTTCACCTCCTTTTTCGCCTTTACCTTCCCTCGGGCCCTCCTCGAGGGCACCCCAATCAATACAGGCGCAAGGTGGGCCAGCCGCTAAACCAACAACATTTCCCCACAATGCTGATGGCGAGAGGAGAGGCGCAGACACATCGATACGACGTCAGGACCCTCGCGTGAGAGGGTTTTTTCCCTTGTGGCAGGACTTTAAATGTGCCGAGCCCCAGGAGCCGGCGGTGGCGGCTGCAAAGGAAGGACTCGCCACCACAGCGGGCCGAACCCCGATCATCAGGTGCACGCACGTTGGGCTGGCGCCCCCAAAATGTGTGGCAGTGCTCCCATCGGAACAGCATGGGGCCAAGCTCAACACTCACTTCACTCCTCTCCTTACTTCTTCCCTTCACCTCCCTCTTTTCTCTTCCTTGTCTCTCTGTCACTTTCCTCCCCTCTCCCTTCCTCGCCCCTCACTCTCCAGCCTTGCATTCCAGGACTCCAAAGGACTCCCTCCCTTCCTCTCTCCCTTTCCCTCACTTCTGCCGTCTCTCCTCATCCTGCTTCTTTGGCCCGTCCTCGTCGTTATTCTCCGTTGCCGTTCTGGCTCAAGGCTCAGCTTGTGTCCAGCGTGCTTCTCGCTGCTCGTTCGCGTCCAAGCATCTCACGTCTTAGCGCGTGTAATTCCAGGAAGCATGGATGGTCGCACAGTTTGGGTTGGCCCGCTTCAGCCGTGGATGGATACCACGTACTTATTTGAGACTTTTAGTTCGGTGGGTGTTGTGGAGCTCGTGAAGGTCCCTCCTGTTGTAGTAAGGGAGGATGGTCTAGATGAGAAATGCAGGTACGCGTTCATCAAGTTCCATTCCAGGGAGGACGCTTCTCGAGTCGTGTACGATCATCAAGACCATCCTCTCGTCACCGCAGAGGGACACCGACTCAAAGTGGAGCACGCGCTCTACGGAATGGATATCGGTACCGGCCAAAGGGGCCGCTCGATCTATTGCGGCAACTTGGATCCACATCTCGCAGATTCAGAGCTGCTGGAGGCCTTTACCAGAAGGTTCAGCTCCGTCATTGCCGCAAGGGTCTGCAGGGAAACGCATCCAACGCCTGGCTACAAGGGCTTGTCCAAGCGGTTTGGTTTCGTGCACTTCCTGGATGGACATGAAGCGGAGCTGGCTCTGCAGCAGATGAACGGCATACTCATTGGCACTAAGCAGTTACCATTGAAAGTCGGGGTCGCTTCTCGTGATGTTTCGAACTGGCGCGCCCCTGCCGACAGGAGTCCGACATCTGCGATCCTCACATCTGCCGACGAGAGCAGGACAGCTCAGCCGATTGTACTCGACCATAGTACCTTGGTGTTCTGCGGCTTCCCGCCAGACGCAACGGAGACGGATATCAAGCGCTTCTTCACGCCATTTGGTCAGCTGTTTAGAGTGACAGTCCACCATGGCGCCGGCACAGTTGAGTTCCGTACCTTGTCTGGGGCTGAGGCCGCGCTCGAATATCTGAGCAGTCATACGACCGTTCTTGCGAGCCTGATGAATGGCATGAGCAGCGCCACACTTGCAGAGAAGGGAGACTCGCTGCAGCATCCCGAGCAAGTTGTCACGACTCAGTCGTCGCCGCAGGCTCAGATTGAGATGCTAGTGAGCTTGCAGATGCAGAAGGTGCTGAGGGAGTGCTGTAGCGCCGACAAACGGCCCCATGAACGTGGACTCGAGCACTTCATGCTCTTGCTGCAAGACCCACGGTTTGTGAAGATTTTCGAGGGCGTGCTCACGAATAGCAGGCCGAAGCAGGGTGAATCTGGAATGCAGCAGCCTCGCTTGCCACTGTTTCTACAGGACTTCCCCGACCGACTCCGTAAGACAGTGGATGTGAGCAAGATGAATGAAGAGTGCTTCTCTGAGTGCATTCGCAACGTGAATGACTGCCGGGGCGTTCTCATGTTGCCACAGAGCATGCGCTTTTGCTTATGAGCGGGGGCCCAGTTGGCCTGCATACGCAACAAGGGCCGATTCATATTATTTAATCGCTTCGCTCATTCCGCCAGACCGTATTGTGCGATCGTTAGTGTTAGCGTGCGCGTTCGTGGGCCATGCGGCGCTGCTGGTCGGCGCTGCTGCGTTTGTGGGTGAATCCTCATGGATGCTTCTTGGTGTCTCTTCGGAGAATTCTCGGGGGTCTCCAGTGTAGCATTTTCAGGGGCTCTTACGGGCCTCCTGGGGGCGCTTTGGATGCCTCTTGGGGCTCTCTTGGCGCCTCTTGAGAGCTTCTTGGGCCCTCTTGGGGGGCTCTTGGGGGGCTGCTTGGGAGCCTCGTAGGGCCTATTGGGAGCTCCTCGGAGGCCTGCGGGGGAAGCCCTGGGGGCGATTTGGAGGCCGAAGGCCTATGGAGAGCTCTTCGGAGGCTTGAGGGAGGACTCTGGGGGCGATTTTGAGGCCGAATGTTCGAACTGTCCGTTGGGGCTCCCCCTCGACAGGGTCTTCCTGAAGGTGTCTTGGGGCTCTCCAGCGCCGTCTTGGGAGAAACCTGGGCCGTCTTGGAGTCCCCCTGGGCCGTCTTGGGGCTTTCTTGGAGGCTTAATGAGCCGTCTTGGAGCGATCTTAGGGCCTTCTTGGGCCGTCTTAGAGCGTCGGCAGCCGGGGGCTTCTTGGAGTGGTCTTGGAGGCATCTTCGGGCGTCTTGGAGGCGGTTGAAGCCGTGTGCAGGCTATCTTGGGCATCTTGGATCGACTTCTGGTGACCCTGGGACCTCTTGGACCGCCTTGGGGGCCTCTTGAGACGCTCTTGAAGGTCCTGAAGGCAGCCCCCGGGAGTTCCAGTATTCGTGACGGGGACCACCCAGGGATTGCTCGGGGACCGCCCAGGATTTGCACGGGGACTTTTCGTCCGGGGACCCCCAGGGGCAGCCACGCGCGCGCTAACTAGAAATATTCTGAATCTGTTACCGGAGATTTCAACACGCTTTTGGCCCTTTGGGCTGGCGAATTCTCCAATGTCTATTTCTCAACTAGGTACTCCATTCTACCTTAGCTCTGCTCTGGATTGCTGTTTACTAGTCTGAAGTTGCACCAGTAGTGCACGGCGGCCGCATTGCAAGTTTGGATGACCTGGGTGTGTCCAGTATCGTTTCTGGGGTGTTCCAGTGCCAGCCAGTACGGTGCCGCCTCTGACCAATGCGCCTCGAGCGGCCCGTAATTCCTGCGTCGGGCTTGCAGGGATCACTTGGTTGTACGAGCTCTCTTCGGGGATGACACAGGAGTCCTCGCCGCTCTTCTTGTTGTTTTCCTCGCCGTCCTTATCCGCATCCTTCTTGTCGTCGGCCTCGTTGTGGTCATGCGTGTTGTCTTTGCTGTCGTTCTCGCCGTCGCCTACTTGTGCCATCATCGTCTTGCTTCTGGTCCTCGTCGTCGTGTGTTCCTTTTGTGTCTCTGGCTCGTCGTCGTTAGTCGTGTTTGCACGAGCCGGTTGTCCCCAAGTAGTGCTTGCATTTGGGGATTCCATTAGTCTCTCTGAGGATTTGGTAGGGTCCGGCGGGAATCTTCCGCGTTGCCGAACGTTGCCACCCGTTGTCGCCTTGTTAACGCCTCGTGCGCTGGGTGGGTCCCGCCAGGTTTCGCCTCGTCGCCGCCCGTTGCCGCCTCGTGCGCTGGGTGGATCTGCCGAGGGTTCGCCACGTTGCCGCCTTGTCGCCGCCTCGTTGCCGTTTCGTGCGCTGGGTCGGTGTGGCCAGGTTTCGCCACGTTGCTGCCACGTTGCCGCCTCGTTGCCGCCTCATGCGCTAGGTCTCGCCACGTTGCGGCTCGTTGCCGCCTCGTTGCCGCCTCGTGCGCTGGGTGGGTCCAGCGAGGTTGCTTCGCCACGTTGGCCGCCCGCTGCCGCCTCGTGGCCGCCTCGTGCGCTGGGTGTTTCCGGCGAGGCTTTGCCGCCAGCTGCTGCCTCGTTGCTGCCCGCTGCCGCCTCGTGCGCTGGGTGGGTCCGACCAGGTCTCGCCACGTTGCCACCCGTTGCCGCCTTGTTGCCGCCTCGTGCGCTAGGTGGGTCCGCCCAGGTTTGACCACAATGCCAGGAGGAGGAAGAGGAGATGAGAAAACCAGACTCGGAGGATGGGGCCTTTCTCACCTCTGCCGACATTGTTCACGGTTCCATCGCCCACGCGGGCCGATAGAAATTCTGGCGGCCGTGACACGTTCGCTCACACGTCCGTTCCATGCATTCGCTTCCAAGAAGTGTCTCTGCGCTGCTTCGCGTCCATCTCACTCGGCATCTCTTCGCACGGCGTCCGTACAAGTTGTTACTATCCCTTTTTGGCTACGGAAACGCATGCACAATGGGGTGCAGATCGCGAGTAGTTAGCAGTGGGGCGTTGTGTTACCCATTGGGGCCTCTGGGCAGCGTGGCCTTGCTGTTCCACCAGCTGTTCCACCTATCAGGCATCCTTTTTAGCAGGGGCGAGAGGACAATCGTAATCGCTGTCACGAGCAGGCTTGGCCCTGCAAGGAACACTGCAAGGGACACGCAGAAAACATTCGCCTCAAGTGCGCTCACCTGGTCATTCATCCTGCTGTGGATGTCGACGACGCAGATGGAGATGCGGATGCCGAGGACGATTATGACGTTGCTGACGACCTCGATGATGCGCGCCGCGGATATGTATTGAAGCTGCCCTTCGGGATGTTACAGCCGCCCTCAACTTGCACATGGTCGAAATCGGCTGTTGTGCGATCACGCCCGCTCTCTCGTACTGCTTCACGGCCACGTGCATCCTACCCAACTCGTGCGATCTCCTCGGGGGGTCAGTCATGTAGGTGTCCTGGAAGCGGGGCAGTCGAGCCCGTCGTGTTCTCTTCACGAAACCTAGGCATGATGGGAATGGAGGAAAGGAGGGGGAGGAGGGAGGAGGAGGAGGAGGATGAGGAGGCGGAGGAGGAGGAGGAGGAGGAGGAGGAGGAGGAGAAGAAGGAGGAGGAGGAGGAGCAGGAGGAGGAAGAGGAGGAGAAGAAGGAGGAGGAGGAGGAGGACGAGGACCCGTGTAAACCCAAGACTCATCAACCATGTTGGAATACATCCTCCTCCAAACTTCCTCTTCGCAGGCCCCTTCCACTGAGGGAAGTGTTTACGCTTCGTGAACTCCCACTAGCCCATTCAGGAGCCCTGCCCATGAGAACTGACGGGAAAAGGGACGAAGAGACACATATAGTGAAACAAAGCGGGCAACCAGGGTGAACAAGAGAGATCTCAGTGGAGTAAAAGGGGTGGCCTTGGAGGGCCTCTTCGGGCCATCCTCAGGGCCCAGAGCTCTTTTGGGGTGTCTTGGGGCCCTCTTGGGGCTCTTGTGGGGCGCCTTGGGGCCCTCGTGAGCTCCTGAGGCCCTCTTGGGGCTCTGTTGGGGCTCTCTTGGGGCCCTCTTGGGGGCTATGGAGCGCCTCCTGAGGCCATCTTGGAGACCATCGATCAAAGGAGTGGGGGATCCTCGATTTGCACCCCCCTCCGGGGCCATCGAAATAGCCTCTTTGGGCGCTCTTGGGGCCCTCTTGGTGCGATCTTGGGCGCTCTTGGGGCAGTCTTGGGGGCCTCTTGGGCCCTTCTTGGAGCTCTCTTGGGTCATCGTGGGGCCATCTGGAGGCCTCAAAAGCGCATCGGAACGACAAAGCGAGAAGGCACACATCAGTAACATTCCTTAGGTTTTGAAGGATTTTGGTCTCGTGGAGGTCCTGAGGGGTCGCCCAAAGCACCTGGAACCGTCTTGTGGCCCTCTTGGGGCCTCCTGGAGGCATGTTGTTAGCTATCTTGAGCCATGTTGGGCTATCTTGAGCGACCATGGTGGCTATCTTGGGCTTTTTGAGGCCCTCTTGGGGCCATCTTGGGCGAACAAAACCTTATGACACCTCGCGAAACCCTCCCGTCCAGGTCCAGGGGAGGGGGTAGGGGGAGGGATAAACTCCTCCCCGAAGGGGAAGAAGGGGTTTTTGGAAGAGGAAAGACAGACATCGTTAGACCACCTGCGCCCAGAGGACTGGTGGGATTTCCCCGTTGAGGGACGACCGTGTGCAAATCCTGAATCGTGCCAAAAGACCACTCTCAGGACTTCAACGTCACGAGTTCCCCTGATTGTGAGGTCTTGGCAAGTCTGACTCGCGCCAGAACGCCATTCCTGGGACTCCAACGCCTCGAATCAACGTAACTGTTGCGCACTGACAATCATGAACCGGTCCAAAAAACATTTCTGGTACGTTCACCACGAGAAACAGTGGATGTCTTGCAAACTTTTAGAACCGATGTGCGCGGAACTGAGGCGAGAGGCACATTTGAAAAAACCGCCCGCCTTCAATCTGTGAAGCTGCGGCCAGACTTTCTGTCAAATGTGCCCAGCGCGAAGGAAGTATTTCCCAACCCTCCCTTGGTTGGGTACTCGTTTTGAATAGAGCACTCTGGTCGCCCCGTCCTCCCGCCCACCTCCCTCCTGCCTCCTACCTCCTCCTCGCGGCGCCCTCTGGGGGGCTGCGATCTGCGCATCTGTCGCCTCCTACGATCTTGCGCAACTGTCGGCACTTTCGTGGGCTCCTGGGAGGCCCAGCGGAGTGGGGGTGACACGCAGATCGCGTCGGGACCTCGCGGCTCCCTGCGGGGGGAGCTGCCAACTGCGCAACTGTCGGCACTTTCGTGGGCTCCTGGGAGGCCCAGCGGAGTGGGGGTGACACGCAGATCGCGTCGGGACCTCGCGGCTCCCTGCGGGGGGAGCTGCCAACTGCGCAACTGTCGGCACTTTCGTGGGCTCCTGGGAGGCCCAGCGGAGTGGGGGTGACACGCAGATCGCGTCGGGACCTCGCGGCTCCCTGCGGGGGGAGCTGCCAACTGCGCAACTGTCGGCACTTTCGTGGGCTCCTGGGAGGCCCAGCGGAGTGGGGGGACACGCAGATCGCGTCGGACCTCGCGGCTCCCTGCGGGGGGAGCTGCCAACTGCGCAACTGTCGGCACTTTCGTGGGCTCCTGGGAGGCCCAGCGGAGTGGGGGTGACACGCAGATCGCGTCGGGACCTCGCGGCTCCCTGCGGGGGGAGCTGCCAACTGCGCAACTGTCGGCACTTTCGTGGGCTCCTGGGAGGCCCAGCGGAGTGGGGGTGACACGCAGATCGCGTCGGGACCTCGCGGCTCCCTGCGGGGGGAGCTGCCAACTGCGCAACTGTCGGCACTTTCGTGGGCTCCTGGGAGGCCCAGCGGAGTGGGGGGACACGCGATCGCGTCGGACCTCGCGGCTCCCTGCGGGGGGAGCTGCCAACGCTGTCGGCACTTTCGTGGGCTCCTGGGAGGCCCAGCGGAGTGTCACGCGGATCGCGTCCTCGCGGCTCCTGCGGGGGGAGCTGGCGCAACTGTCGGCACTTTCGTGGGCTCCTGGAGGCAGCGGAGTGGGGGTTCGCGTCGGGACCTCGCGGCTCCCTGCGGGGGAGCTGCCAACGCGAACTGTCGGCGTTCGTGGGCTCCTGGGAGGCCCAGCGGAGTGGGGTACACGCGGATCGCGTCGGGACCTCGCGGCTCCCTGCGGGGGGAGCTGCCAACTGCGCAACTGTCGGCACTTTCGTGGGCTCCTGGGAGGCCCAGCGGAGTGGGGGTTACACGCGGATCGCGTCGGGACCTCGCGGCTCCCTGCGGGGGGAGCTGCCAACTGCGCAACTGTCGGCACTTTCGTGGGCTCCTGGGAGGCCCAGCGGAGTGGGGGTTACACGCGGATCGCGTCGGGACCTCGCGGCTCCCTGCGGGGGGAGCTGCCAACTGCGCAACTGTCGGCACTTTCGTGGGCTCCTGGGAGGCCCAGCGGAGTGGGGTTACACGCGGATCGCGTCGGGACCTCGCGGCTCCCTGCGGGGGGAGCTGCCAACTGCGCAACTGTCGGCATTTTCGTGGGCTCCTGAGGCGCCGAACGATCGCTCCAGGACGTTCAAGGTGGGCCCCAGACGGCACAAGAGGCTTCCAAGACGCTCCAAGAGGCCTCCAAAAGGCTTCATGGGAGGGCCCCGAGAGGCGAAAACCACGAATTTTACAATGGTTTTTGAAGGATTTTGGCTTTCTCGTCTTTTCGGTTTTCCGGAGCTACAGGACGGCTCAAGAGGCACCCAATACTGCCCCAAGACGGCCCAAGAGGCTTCCCAGAGGGCCCGAAGACTGCCCACGAGGCCCCAAGACGGCCCAAGACAGCCACTCTAGCGAAGAGTACCGACTATCGGGATTTGCCAGGGATTCCCGAAAGTTGAAGCCGATGGGATTTGTCGGCAATCGCCGCGCTTGACCCTCAAGCGCGGCGATTGCCAAGAATGCAATGGTCGTCGCTTTCGTGGGCCTCTTGGACGTCCAGCGGATGTTCAGCTATTTTGAAAGCGCCAGTTGATAATGCCACCTGCTGACAAAGGGTTGGGTACGTCCCTGGGTAATGTTTATGTTTTATTATGTTTATCTATATTAGTAGTAGTAGTAGTAGTAGTAGTAGTAGTAGTAGTAGTAGTAGTAGTAGTAGTAGTAGTAGTAGTAGTAGTAGTAGTAGTAGTGTATTAGTAGTAGTAGTAGTAGTAGTAGTAGTAGTAGTAGTAGTAGTAGTAGTAGTAGTAGTAGTAGTAGTAGTAGTAGTAGTAGTAGTAGTAGGAGTTGTAGCAGTAGTAGTAGTAGTAGTAGTAGTAGTAGTCGTAGTAGTAGTAGTAGTAGTAGTAGTAGTAGTAGTACTAGTACTAGTACGAGTCGTAGTACGAGTCGTAGTGTTCGTAGTGGCAGTCGTAGTTCCCCAATCAGTGCTTGCATGGAAGGGGTCCTCGCTGAAGTTGAACGATTTGGCGAAAATTTGCCACCGATTTTGGGCGCACGCTGGGTTCCCGGGTTCCCGGTTCCAGGTTCCCGAGGTCCCTGTTCCGGGTTCCGGGCCGATTTCGGAGGGCGGCGAGGTTCCCGGGTTGCCGGGTTCATGGTCGATCTGTTTATCGATCGTTCTCACCATCGATTCCATCACCCATTTCTCTATCGATCTCACCATCGATCTCACAATCGATCTCATTATCGATCTCACAAGCGATCTCAGTAGAGATCGAATGAGCGATCTCTTGATCGATCTCAGTATCGATCTAATTGAATCGATTGCACTCCCGGTCTCCCTATCGGCCTTACAATCGTCCTCACCATCGATTACACTATCGATCTCATTACCGATCTCACAATCGATTTCAAGATCCATCGTACAAATTTTCACATCATCCAGAGATTGGTTTTTCTCGGCTGTAATTGTAGTAGCAAAAATTGTAGTAGTGGTGGTAGTCGTGGGAGTCGTCGTCGTAGTAGTAGTAGTAGTAGTAGTTGTAGTAGTAGTAGTAGTAGTAGTAGTAGTAGTAGTTGTATTACAGCAGCCGTAGTAGTAGTAGTCGTAGTAGTAGGAGTCGTATGGTTCGTAGTAGTTGTAGTAGTTGTAGTATCCGTACTTGTAGTGGTGGTGGTAGGCGTTGGAATCGTAGGTCTTAGGTCGTAAGTCGTAGGACGCAGTAGTAGTTGTAGTAGTAGTAGTAGTAGTAGTAGTAGTAGTAGTAGTAGTACTACTACTACTACTACCAGGACTAGGAGTAGGAGTAGCAGCAGTAGTAGTA